ATTTAAAATTAAAGATATAAAAATTAAATTGGAAACTAAAGATTAAAACATTATGTTAAAAGTTGTACAAGATGGAATATAAATGTTTTTTTGTAAAGAAACGCTGCGACCGCTACGTGTTGACCTGGATGTATGACGATAGAGGCGACTATAGCGTGGGGTGCCCCGTACCGGAATCTTCTTACGTGGGATAGGATACGTGTAGTCATGACCTTAGTAACGTCTTACGGAGCTCAGGGAAAGAGATCCTTGGTACCTAGTAGGAGGCTGGGTGGGCCCTAGAGCCGGTCTGGACGACGTGGAAAAAAGAAAAATCTCTTGCCTCTTCCGGGATTCGACGAAACCTAACCCGTCGCTGTACCATCTGAGCTATCCCGGCTTCATGGAAGACCGTCCAAATGAGCAGTTTCATATTCATGGTTCAGGTAACACAAAATTATTGCAATTTAGAGTTACCCTGCAGTCCTAGGCGTGACATCTCGCACTGTGCCGCGCATCTGACAGTCGGCCTACTCGTGTCACACGAGCCTGCAGCCCCAGGGCTTCTGTATCCGTTATCACTTCCGCCCCTATCAAATTATAATTACGCATTTAACAATTATTATCTGTTCGGTTCAGGATCAGTTGTAGCATACAGTTATGAAATGTCCAGTTTAATGTGTGTAGCGGAAGCGAGTTAGTGTTACCAACAGCAGTAGGTGTATCTGTTCAAATTATTGGCTTCACAGGCCATTCAACCCGGAAGTTGTTATTACGGCTGTTGCCCAAATTAATCCGGACCTGATCCTATCTATTTCTCCCCAGCTTTCTGCTCCCTACTGGGTTCATTCAGTATCGGTCTTATTTACGCTCCTTCACTTTTACTTTCCTGTATCTTGCAATTGTTAAGCTACGGGTCTACTTCCTCTTTATATTCTTGTGTTTCCGCATTTGTCTTGTCTCTGAGACTCTAGAAACACGCAGATTTATATTGACATTGCACAGTCTTTCCGTTGTAGTCCCTAAATATCCGAATGCTTCCTCGTAGTGAGTAACAGTTGCGTTTTGTATGAGCGGAATGCCAAGTTTATTGACAGTCCACGCACAATCCGTTCCGTTGGTTCGTGCTTGATTCTGAAAGAGCAGTCTCTTTATGGCGATATTTCTTTTTCTGATATAATCTTACGTTATTTAGCAACGCTGTTTCAATTACAGAGGTCGACCAAGATGGGAAATTCTTGGTTTATCTAAGGCACTTTATCGGATTCCTAGATAACATAGCGTTGAATCTTAGGATTATTTGTGAATGATGATAGGAGTATGATAGGAGACGGTCGTGGCCTATTTCAAGGTACTGTCCCAACATCCAGGAAAGATTAATAAAGAAACCGGAGTCAGGATAACTGGCAGTCGAGCCGAGATGGGAAGTGGGAACCTCATCGCTACACCGACCTACTCTGTGACATGTGTTTCTACATTTATGTTATGCATTCGTCCATTTAGGTGATATTCTTTAGGAAGGTCGTGATATTGGGTATATTTCCGACGCCATTTTTATGTACCTGCTTCCAGGCCTTCAGAATGGCCTGACTTGAGAGTCAGATATAGCAGCTAATCCATTTCACTGTAGGAAAATTTTGTTTACGTGCAATTTTCTTAAATATAAGATACATGGCGGCAGTGTCGACTCACATTGATTTGATGACAACGATTGAGATGAAATTATGAAGTTTATGAATTCCATTTCTTCTTCTGTTGATATTTACCACCGTAATAAATGTTAAGACCGCAGAGGCTACGTTTCCAAAATAAACTGAAACAAGTATTCACTATGAAGAAAGCAGTCTTCTGGGATTTGGCACCGTGTATATGTGGTGTTAACCGACGTTTCGGAGGAACGTATCGCCTCCATCTTCAGGGTAGAATGAAAAATATAAGAAATCCGCAAGCGAAGAGACCGTGAGAACCGGTAAAAGCTTTTACCGGACAGGTTTCATTCGGTTCTCACATTTCCTTTATGGTCTGTCCCATTCTGTCTGTCCACTTTGCTCACACCGTGCAAAGAATGGTCGGAAAGTGTTACTACCTTTTTAATTCACACTACGTCACAATTTGACACCAATCGGAACATTACCGCATGATGCAGTACCAGCTCTGTTACAAAATTAATGGGCATTATTCAAACTGCCTCATATAAATTAAATTATTCCATAATAAAACAACAAAAAAATTCAAACAACAAAAGCCACCCACTGGACACGATTCCGAACCATTTTCATCTACCTCACAACGAGTCTTTCTAATATACGTAATAGTGTACTCCCATCTCCTTATTTGCCTTTCAGATGGCCGTTTCAGAGAGGTTTCTCCAGAAATTTTATATGCATTTCTTGTGTCTCATCTTAACGAGATGCGCAACATATCCTAGCCTCCTAGATGCCCTGAGGCCTGTTCTAGCAATACCGCATGACCTATTTGAACACGAAGTTGCTCGTATGTAATATTAACGCAACTAAAATTAAACCACTCCTTGTCGATTAACCTTCGGAAGAGTAACATTTATGTATTTTCTTTGACTCGAAGACATTAGCATCAACAATCAATCCTAGCTGTCGTACAATACACAACTAACATTGAGTGGGCTTCGCCAAAGAAACTGAGCACACTGGTTTGAATAAATAGCATTTGTCAATAGAAATGTTCAATTTTAGAAAATACAGAAACTCTTACATCTTTAATATATCATGTTGCTTCTCAGAGGAGCGTAAATATTTCCAAGTAGCGAACTTAAATTTCAAAGTAGCTATTGCCGATTCATAATCAGGCTTCAGAAAAGAGGAAGTACGTATTTGTTACCAAGGCAGCGACCCTTTGATTCTGCTGTGGGCGTGCTGGATATTGCACTGAGCTGCGACCTTAGTATTGTATGTGCAGCACTCAGCACAGAACCTTCTGTAAGCATTAGAGGCACACATGAAAACGAGTAAATAAACACTGGTAATATTCTTTTTAACGCTTGCCTTTAACTGGTAGACATAGGTCAACATATGTAATATGTTTCAGTTTCACGCGGGACATTCATGAGTACAGTGCTTCGACGTGCTACTGTTGCTGACTTTTCGTAGCTCTCTTTCTTAAAAAAAAGTGATTGGGAAACCTTGATTACCAGGATTAACGTTGAAAACGGTATTAAATTATGATTTTTATTGGAATAAATGTGCTTTGTACTTCAAAATTGAAACTCTTTTGTAACATTACTATATATACAGTACATTATGTATTGAAATTACCTAAAGAGTTTACTTTGTAGTTACATCAGTGAGTTGAGGAGGTCGGTGATTGGTTGTGCTCAAGATAGGTCTATGATAGCTAGGGTATGAAACGTAGTTCAGGCAGGATAAACTGTCCACTTTTCGTCAACGAAACCGGAATAACAAAGTCGACGCAAACGTCCATTAGCATCCAACGGCTGGGTAAATATTGTTCCCACAGTGAAGTCACTAATTGCTAACTAACTGTTGACTAAACGCATTCCATCTCCAAGGCATAGCACTTAACACTCATTTCTGTGATAACAATTCACTAAGCAGATACGGTTACCAAGGTAATTTCTGTGAAATATTACGCTGAAATGTCACTTACGGCTTCAACTATTTATGCCCTCGTATAGTAATGTTTTCAACGTTAAAACGGTGACATTCATTATTTGAGGGGTCTGAGGTACAGTATCCGGTCTAGAAAACCGAGATTAACGGCCGCGAGAATCCGTTGCGCTGACCACGTGACACCCACTATCCGCAAAATTTGCCACTAACTTCGCCGACAAGCGGAGGTCGCTCGGTCGGTATAGTTCGCTTGCGGGCCACAGGCCACGGATTTGTTTTGTTTGAGGTACATTGTAGCTTGTACGAGTATTAGAAGTTTCCCAGGCGATTTCCGTGGTTGATATTAGAAATCAGCATGTGAGAGGCCTGCTCTTCATCCCTCAGCATCGACCCTATTGATAGAGACAGAACAAGTCTCCGAAACTTTGGTATCTAACTCAGCCATGACACATACGGTCCCTGGAGAAGATTTTAGTGCATTTGTTCTTCAGTTTTTACGTATTCCGCGGAACCAACCCGAACCTCTCTGCCCTCTATGTAGGCAAAAAGTGAAATTTGCAGTAAAAAGTTAAGTGCTGAACTATACCTTACTCATTTCATTAAATGGCTTTGTGTTGGCACACATCTTTATTGGTCTTCTGGAACCCATAAAGGACACACACATTCTCTGTTTCGAAAGATACAAACGTGCACTGTTACAGTGATAACTGAAAATAGTTAAGATTTGTCAGTCGTAAACATGAAACAGATATGCAAAACGAGGTCGAGTTTCTTGTTGATTGTTTGGTAGCCTATCTGACCACACTATGTCATGTTAAGATAATGCTTAATGTGATGGCATCACTATGTATAGTGAATTAGAACGAGAAAGGAGGAAGCGATTGTCGTCGCTTTCGAGGTATCATCAATCCAGTATCGATTGAAGGGGCAGAAGGAAACAAAGAAAATTCGTGAGGAAGTCAGTGACTCTGGCACGACTCGAATTTGGTACCCCAGACTTGTTATCAGTTGAGGTAACCTGCTCAGGGAAGTTTCTTATAATATAAGGCCTGTATTACATATCCCAGTTTGTTGTTTTTTGTGTGACATTTTTGACTGCAAGAATCCCTATAGTCCATTCGCGGAGACGAGAGAATCCTCGTAAACAAATGCACGCGGTATCTCCTTCGCTCTTTGAATGAAATCATGCAGCGATTACGTGATGCCTGTATCGTTGCAGGGCGTCCAAAGTTCACTCTTCAGTCTGAATGCAGGCTAACGTGCGTCCGAATGCAGTGAGTACACTGAGTAACTGCGCGCTTTGTCCACTCCTTGCTGTCAGCTGTGGCGACTCGGAGCTTGCTTTGTTTACGCTGTCTCGTCTCCGCGAATGGACTGTAGGTAGATAATTTCAGAAATTTGTTTCTTTCATTTCAGAAAAACATATTCAAGTACCGCAACATTCTAAAGCGGTCGACGAGACCAGAAGTAATACTCAAAGAACTGAAGGTGAGTAAATATTTTGCATTTTAGTTTCATTATACTTTCTTCACCTAACAGCTACAGAGACCTTTTGGATTGTGTTTAATGTCTTCACTTCAGGATGTACAGGAAACAAGCTGGCCGACTATGCCGACTCTGATATTTGTCAACAGCAACATGCATGTCTCACTTTCTAAATAACGTCGAAACAAATGTTCGGTAACCGTGAAATTAGTGAAAGATAAACTCCTATGCGAACATTTGAAATATTCAGTACATAATAGCATTATATGAAGACTATCGAACATGTTTATCGATATTTAGAAGTACCATGGGTCAAATCATAATTTTCTTTCTTCTAAGCTTTTATTTTCGTTTAACTGATTCTTGTAACTCTATTATTGCACTTCCCATTGGTAATTTTGTTTGGCCCGAATAAGTTTCCTGTGAGAATTATGAAATCTTGTTTTACAGACTATTGAATACATTGATTTCGGATCTTCACCATCTTCCTTTCGGGTTTATCTCGTATCGCGGCAAACCCTGGCGAACACAAAGCTTAAGCTACCGATGAGGTAGGTCTTGAGGTAATGTTGCAGACTTGTATTTGAGAGGTGCAAATTTCGAATCTAGGCCGGGACCCTAGTATGACCGCGTTTTTTCTTGACTTTTCTCAGCCCCTCCAACTAAATTCCAAAGTAGTATCTCGGTTAGACCACCACCTTCTCCTCCAGATTCGTTCCAATTTATCTCTCCTGTCATCAGACGCTATAGTCCCTTGTTAAATAGCACACACAATTTTTTTTTCTTTTCCTTGGCACTACAGCCCCAATGGGCCTAGGCCTACCTCCATGAACTTCTCCGTTCACTTCGGTTTTTCTAGATCTTACACATTCGGTAGGACTCCTTGGGCGGGTGATCAGCTCGTTACAAGAGCTCTATCTGTACACAAACACAGAAAAACGCACACACACAAATTAACATCCATGCCCTGAGTGGGATTCGAACCCACGATCCCCGTTTCCAAGCGAGCGAAGACAGTACATGCCTTAGACCGCTCACACACAAAAAATAGGGGCCCATTATTATTTAGGAGCCATATTATTTTACAGAAATATGTATTTGCTGAACCAAATGTTTTTCTTCTTTACAAATTTTCTTTGTTACGAAGTCCGACAGATACTAAATGGTGGCTGCAGCGAAGGAAATTTCCAATTTGACAGGTCGAGTGGACTGCTAACAGTGACATGGTTGTCGCGTTCATAATGTGGGTACAAGCGCCACCTGTTGATAAGACTGGGAAACTGCCATAGAGTTTACTACGACAAGTGCTTTCTTATCTCGAGAGTAGAACCGCTACTGTTTTTAGATCATTTCTATGAAATGCGGAAGTCATCATTTACAACGAACTTGTTAGTGTAATACTCGTAGATCGATTTTTTTTATATTCATTTCGATGCTCTTAGAGGCAGAGAATGTAGAAGGAATAGGCCTTATGTGGAATTTAACATTGAAATAATAGGTGCCGATCAGAGTGGCCGCACGGACTAAAGCACGAAATGTCTTCGCCAACTCAAACACTGGGATCGTGGGTTTGAATCAAGCTCGAGGCATGGATGACTACATTTCTTCTGTGCTTATGTTTTTCTGTGCAGATAGCGGGCTTGCCTTGGGCTCATCCCTCGTACAAGGATTCCTACCGACTGTCTGCAGGATTCATAATTTCAGAATTAATTCTGAATGGGAGTGTCAAGGTAGAATTAGAAGAAATAGTAGGTCTATTATTGATTTCAGTACTGATGACGAATGCCGGTCACAGTAGCCGCGCGGCCTGAGGCATGTACAGGTATTCTTTTCGCTCGCTCGGACGCTGGGATCGTGGGTTCGAATCCCACTTAAGACATGGATGTGTGGTGTGTGTGTATGTGTTTATTCTGTGTTTATGTTGTCCTGTGTTTAGGTAGAGTCCTTGCGACGGGCCGATCACTAGTCCAGGGAGACCTACTGCCTGTGAAAAATTATTATGGAACTGAATAAGAGGCCCTGAATTGTCTGGAAGAGTCGTTGAAGAAGAAAACCCATTAGGAATACATGAAATAATGGGAACCCATTCAGAATGAAGCAAGCGAGATTTTTATGGACCTTTAGAATAAGAAAGCTGCTAGATACAGAATTATTACCTGAAATATAAACAAATAAAAGGCATTTAAATTGCTGAGTATGTATAATTGAATTAATAAAGTGAATAATTGTTCCAAATAAATTGCATGAATACCATCTTGTTATGTTGCAAAAGTGAATATACGAGTATTGTGTTATAATACGAAATTTTAAGAAGCTTCACTAAATAAACTAAAGCTTAAAGTAAATAAGATCTAAAAGTTTGTGATGATGGTAAATTGTAAAGCTTAAAGTTATTAAAATAATTCGTCAGAATTTCTTATTTTTTTTTCAAAGAATACTGAATTCATATCAAGACGTTTGCAAATTATGTTCTTGTAACTGCAATAGATGCCGGTCGGAACCAGTTTTGGTTTCACGGGTTATTTAACGAAGGTTCCAGTACCGAGACGGCAGGCCCGTAGCGTCGGTGGTAGGATGACAAATGGTTAATTGCAAGGGATTTGGAAGGAAACAGTCGTTGTCTAATTGAGGTTCTGAGGAAGACCATGAAAAGCCTCAGTCAGTATAGGCGATGTTACCGAGATTCGAACGGAACACCTCCCGAATACATGTCTTAGAGCGTTACTTCTAGACAAACCTGTTCGGTAACTTTAGTTCACTTCTTGTTAACATAAAACTTCCTGTGTAGAAGGTGAGATGTTTGAGTTGATAGGGAGTCACTTCATCCTATTAGAGCTCATGTGGGGGAGTGTATAAGTTTCATGATATTTTTAAGAAAATGGTGATTGAATATTGCTCCCTTGCTCCGTAAGCTGTGATAGGGCATATGCTCCAGGAATCGGTCGCGTCACTGTTCCTGGTTTCCTTAAATGAAGACGACACCATGAAATCATATCTCGCACAGTTTATATCCTGTTCTGCAAGTCCTGTTTAAGAGCCTTCCTTAAACTCGTATACTTTATGGAATTTAAGAGTTATCATATATGAGGTGGGCAGGACATGTAGCACGAATGGGGGAGAAGAGGAATGCACATAGGATATTCATTGGGAAGCCAGAAGGAAAGAGACCACTGGGAAGACCAAGGAGTAGATGGGTAGACAGTATTAAAAAGGATCTTAGATAGGATGGGATGGATTGGATTGATCTGGCACAATATAAGGATAAGTGAGGGGCTCTTGTGAACACGGTAATGAACCTTCGGGTTCCATAAAATGCTGGGAAATTCTTGAGTAGCTGCAGAATTGGTGGCTCCTTAAGAAGGGCTCAGCTCCATGAGTAAGCAAGTAAGTAAGTAAGTAAGAGTTATGATACGTCTAAATGGACGACGAGACAGTCAGTGAAGTAAAGCAATGGGTAATTCGTGAGACAATACTTCAGACTTCACCCTTGTCCTCTTCGCTTAACTACTCCATAGTTCTCTGTTCTTGTCAACAGAAATGCTATACTCACTGTCACACTATTCAGGCCGAACGTCATGGTCTAGTAGACAGTCCTTCTGCTTCGAATTCAGGAGATTTCAGGTTCAGTTCTCTGCCCGAAAACCAATCAACTTCTGGTTTCTGTGGATTTCCTCAGTCCTTCAGGAAACTGTTGGTTTCTTTTATTGCTAGTGGGGTGGGACTAAGTCCCTTGTACTGCGGCCACTTCTGGCCTATTGTACCAGCCCCAGATGATAGGTGAGGGTGATTGTGGAGCAATTGGTGGAATGAAGATTGGCAGGGGAAATCGAAGTACTCGGAGAAAACCTGCCCTAGCGCCAATTTGTCCACCACAAATCCCACTTGACCAGACCCGGATCGAACCCGGACTGCCGCGTTGGGAAGCCAGCGACTAACCGCTTGAGCTATGGCGCGGCCCTATAAACTGTTGGGTTAGTAGCTCGAATTAGTCTACGACCACTTGTCTCTCCTTCATTTCCAATTCATTATTCACTGATCATCTACTTATCATTCGGCTCTGCATGCACTGAGTAGTGATGACGTCGTTAAACAAATCGTAAATGAATACATAAATAAAGAAACTATATCACCACATAAAATAGCATTTCGGCATTAAATCCCAGTTACCAGTGTCACTCTAAAATATATTTGGATGTGCAACTAACTGGAAAAATATACGGGCTTAGATTTTGCATCTTCATTGTACACGTATTTTGCTCATATAAAATAACATTACAGCTATGAACATTAAATAGGAGAGTGGAACTCAGAAGCATGGGGCTGAATATTTTGGGGGGAGAAGAGCAAAGCTTTTTATTATAAATGTTTTTGTGGATGTTTGTGAAACTTATAGATCTTGAATTTAAAGAAGAGAAACGAAAGTGTATTTAAAAACATAAGTATCTAGTTAAAGACATAATTTATTTGTGTCTATGGTGAGATTCAAGTCGAGTCCAAAAAACGCGACGTAAGATACAGGACGAACTCATGTAAACCAGCGACTAATCTTGTATAACTAAGCGTAAAACAATCATGCACTAATGTGTATGCCAAACTTGAATATAATTTATGCTCTCTATCTGTCCCCTCGTGCGCTGAAAGGATCTAATTACGTTCGAATAGTCTCCATGCCAACAAAAAAGTAAATGCTTATTTATTGTGAAGTGACCGAAAATAACGGCTGACTACGCGACACCCTCTATCCGCTAAAGTTGGCACTAACTTCGCCGACAAAAGGCGGTAGCTCGGTCGGTATAGTTCGCTTGGGGACTAAAAACCACGGAGTTTGCTTTTGTTTTGAACTGTACAAATCTCAGTACTGAATTTAAAAATCGCTAGTCCTTTGTCCACTCCACTAATATAGACTGCCGTGATCTAGATTTTCATGATTGTTAGACTGGAAAACTACCGCGTCATGGCGATATTACCTTTATATTTAGATTAATTAAGGTCGTCGAAGTGGT